AGATGATGCGGGTGATGGCTGGGGCGATATGGCCGACGATGACGATGATGGTTTCTCCGAGAAGCCGTCCTCATCTGCTGGCCAGAAGAACTCCACACCAAAAATTGCCGCGGCGCCCTTTGATGATGGCGGTGAGCCTGACTTTGCAAGCTGGCTAGAACAGCGAGCAAAGAAATCAGGCCCAGCAAAATCAAAGCCTCTCCCGAAAGGTCTCGCAAAGTCCACGACAACCGCGGCAGCGAAGAAGACGGTGACGAAACCGGTTGCAAAACCGGCCGCAAAGCCTCTAGCTGCAAAGAAGATCAATATGGCGCCAAAGGCATCGGCCGACGACGACGAGGGCTGGGGAGACGGTTGGTGATTTTCTTGCCAACTATTAATGCCTTATGACATGCACATACATTGACGAGAGCGAAGTATACATTGGCGTCAAGGGGGGTATTAAAATGCAATTATTTTCTTCATAACTCCCACCTCCATACAAGCTGGCTCGACTCGACATCTATCTACCTATGGGTTTATGGATAGGTAACCAAACCTCTTTTCTATATTGTGGTAGACGAGGAGGGGTGTTTAGTACTTTAGCAAGCGTACATATTGAAGTCCTAATTTCGTCTCCTGGGTACGCAGCATACAATATTTGCGAATATTTCTATCGATTTGGATAATTACGTCTATCAATTACACCTCTGGTGCTGTGTCTAGGAATTCAAGTGATGTTGTATTTGTTAATCGTGTAGAACGATCTTACAGGTATGCATAAGAACGGGATCAATGTGGGGTCCATCTGCGCCAAGAACTTGGGGAAATCGATAACACATGGGCCGGAAAAAAAGTAAGCTCTCCATTCCCAACCACACGGCCATTCCTCCCCCACGAAACCAAAACTCCCCCCCCTCAACCACATACAAATTCTCGGGAAAAGCGAATCGCGAATCATCCGAAACCATGGCTCAGGGAACCATCAAGATGTCAACCAAGGCTGCGGCCACCAAGGTCGCCCACTCGAAGAAGCAGGCCTCCAAGATCACCAAGCCCAAGCAGCGCAGCAAGGGCAACCCCGACAAAGTCCACCGCAAGTTCACATCTGGCATGACGGCGCGCACCGAGGCGCTCCTGGGCGAGCGTGCCGGCCACCTCGAGCTGATCGGCCAGGGAAAGAAGGGCAAGAAGGTGGCGAAGGCGGGCGGATCCAAGAGATTTGGTTAGATGGGAGAAGTGCAGATTTTTCCTTTTTGCCAAATAGATCGTTCTTGGTCATCGTCGTTTTCCTGCGGGTTTCTTCCCTTTTCTTTCTTTCTTATTTTACAGCTTGAGACGACTTATCGAGCTACGACATGGCGTTTTGCTCAGCGGGGTCTTTATTGTTTTCTATTGTAGACTCGGCAAATCTCTATGTATCCCGAGCGGTCAAATCTATGGGGGGACAGCTTCACTCGACGGTGGCGATATCAAACGGACGGCCCTCGGCAACCGCGGCGAGAATTGCCGTGACAACCTTGAAGTCTCGCTCGACGTCCACCTTCCAGTTCGACACGGCGATGCGCACAGCCTTCTCGCCCTTCCAGGCCGTCCCGCTCACGTACATCTGCCTAGTCTGGTTAATCTCCTCGACGAGTCTGGCATTGAGCTCCGGGCTCTTGGCGCGGAAGAGAACAATGATGAATATTTCGTCTAGGTCCGCGTTGGGGAGCAGCTCATAGTCGTTTGAGTCGCGGAGGAAGGCGGCCAGCCTGCGCGAGAGCTGGACCATGTTGGACACGAGATTGGCGAAGCCGGGGCGTCCTTCGCTGAGGAGGGCGGCGTAGGCTGGAAGCGCCCGGAAGCGGCGCGAGTTCTCGAGGCCGACATTCAGAGGGGAAGGGATCGTGGCCGCGGACGAGGATGCGAGATAGGCGGCGTTGGGATTCACGAAGACATTCTGGAGTGTAGATAGCGAGCGGGTGAAAAACATGCCGCAGTCATACGGCTTTTTGTTTTCAGTCCGGCGTTAGCTCAGCTGAGATCGAGTCAAAAATTGGAGGGAATGGGTGGAAGTCGTCTTCCCCTTACCACATTCAGGATCTTGTGACCGTCCACCGTGATACTATCGGCCAATTCCAGTCCCGCCACTCGTTCATGCAAGAGTTTGTACTCGTCGTTGGCTTCTAACACTCGGGCAAAAATACCAAATGCTATATAACGTGCTGGTTAGCTCTGAGACATATTCTCCCTCTCTCTCTGTAATTGAGAAGGCTTAAGGGATCTTTTTACCTCCATCCACGTGAATCCAAGCTCCGTACTGGTCAGCAAGAGCCCTGACCCTCTTCATCTCCTCCAGACCATAAGTCCCGTACCGTCCCGTGTTCACCTCGCCCGCACTGATGGCAATGATGCTCGCCGTGCGGGGCCTCTTCAGATGCTCCTCCAGCGCGGCGAAGTCAAGCCGCCACGGCTCCTCATCAGACAGCCGCAGCTCCTTCACAGACTGCCTCCCCAGGCCGACGACGCTCGCCGCCTTGGACAGGGAGCTGTGGCCCGCGCTCGTGAGCACCTGGATCTCCTCCACGCCCGCCCTGGCGCACGCCCCCAGGATCCCGAGCTCGCCCACCGCCCCGTCGTCGCCGCCCAGCCGCCTCGCGAGCACAGCCTCCCGCCCGCAGGCCAGGCCGAGCACGTTGCTCCCCGTGGCGCCCGTGGTCAGGGTCCTTCCCGGCCACCCGCCCCCCGGGAGGCCGAGCAGCGAGGCGAGCATCTCGAGGGCCCTGTCCTCAACCGCCGTCGCCACCGTCTGCGCGGGGAGGTGGACCTGGACGTTCTGGTCCATGTGGGAGACGACGCCGTCGGCCCACTGCGAGACGGGGAGGACGCCGCCGGTGACGAAGCCGTAGTACCGGCCGGAGCGGCCCTGGCCGCTGAGCGCGGGCAGGATGTCCCGCGTGATGTGGCCGACGACGGCCTCTGCGGGCGCGCCGGCGAGGTAGGACGCGGACTGGCTGGAGGGGAGCGACGCCTCCGCCGCCCGGATGGAGTCCTGGGACGGGAGCGTGGGATGGTCGAGGGTGTGAGCGTGGCGGTCAACACACCTCTTCAGCTCGGACAGCTGGGTCTCGGTCTCAAAGTAATCGGCCATCGTTTCTTCTTCCCTTTGCTGTAGGTGGTCTGGCAGAATGGTGTTCTGAAGTGGGTTGCCATTTTATATCATGTCGGAGTTCCGTGTGAGTCTTTGAGCTGCCGGTGTCGCCCAGCAGCTGCCAATTCCGGGAACCGGCAGTACAACTCGAGAAAGATCCGCTTTCATGGACTATTCCACTAAAAAAAGGGAAATGTAAGAAACTAGCAGCAAGTTAAATGACTGGGATTGGGTAAACGGGACCCTTTTTTCTCTCTCCTTCTGGCTGCTCTGTCCGGTATACCGGCGCGCGCGTTAATGGCGTCGGACTCCAGGTTTCGGAGTTCAGGTTATTAATAGGGTCAACGACCGACCGTACATATATGTAGGCCGTGGCCACGACCGGCCGGGAAATGGACAGCGGCAGTTGCAGATTGTAAAACCGGTGTGATGAGTGTATTGTCTATTGGTATCACTATATCGATGATGGCTATTCATAATATCACATATAGAGAACAGATAACCAGGACGTTTCTCAAGTCTAACCAATAATACAAGAGCGACGCTTGGGGGGCTCGCAGCACGTCCCCCGAAAAGACGAAAGGTCACACAGCCCAGATCCCAGTGGCCCTGGGCATCGGTCCTTTGTGAGTTGTCATATCTAAATGAATCTCCATGATCCGCCGAGAAAAATAGCGGCAGAGGAACAAGAGGTGCGCCCCTCTGCTGAGGAGCACTCTAGGCGTTGGTGGGATTCTACTTAGCATCCCTCAGCCATCGCCATGTTGTCGTAATATATACACGGGGTATAAGCAGGATTGACCTTCCTATAGCTTCGCGCTCTCGCCAACGGCACCAATCTTGAGTTTCTCGCCGTACTTCTTTAGTACGTGCTCGTTGTGGTATTTCCAAAAGGGCTTGGTGGCATTCTTGCCAGCAAAGCGCTTGAGAATCTTGGCGCCGCCAGGATGCTCCTCCAGAAAGTCTGCAGGTCGATACGTTAGTCAAGATAGTTCTGGCATGATCAGGTGACGTCGAGGGAACAGGGGGAAAGAAGGGCGGGGGTCGAAAGGGCGGCAAGGACGAGGCAAGGCACTAGAACTCAACTGGTTATATCGAAGACGTCGTTCTCAACAATAATCCACATGCCATCCTTCTCATCCTTGTGCTTGGCCACCTCGGCCGCGGTGTATGTTTGCGACATGGTGTGACGTGATCAGGCCAGAAAGTCTTGGGGGGTAGTGGTGCTGGAAAATGGATGGATCGGAGCGCGTGTTCGAAGCGAGCGTTCGTCTATTGTCTATGTCTCCGCTGGGGAGTGCTGTGTCTGGGATCGAGAAGTATAATGTATGGGTTGAGGGGGGAGAGAGGCCGAAGGAGACGGAACTGGGCTGGTCGCATTTTTGTAGCCTGTGGCCTGTCCTGGGGAGGCGCAATGCCTCGGCATGTGCCAACGGCGGAACCGAATCCGCCAAAATCTGGGGGAGCTGATGCCCAGAGCCAGGCTTTTGGGGTTCAGGGAGGGGCAGCCCGCTAGGACACGCGCCCCCCACCGCTACAGCCAGTAGGAAGAGACCAATTCGTCAGTGAATACAGCGCCAGCTGATAAGGCAGTTCGTCTTGAGTCTCTTGACGAAATTATGTCATACGTTGTCGCACTTACTCGCTGAGACTGATGGGGAACATCCTCGGCAGAAGCTGCACCTCACCTCATCCATGTTCACCGGCAAATATACCTCCCTGCAATTAAAGCAGCAACCACAGCGTTGTGTTCGGCCATTTATTCTGCTTCAAGACCCGTGCTGTGTCGTCGACGCAGTCATAGTAGAACGCATTACACACATGGTCATAATTCATCATCTAGTAGTATACATGAATAGACAGTAGACACCAATCCTTGGGCAATTGGCTACAGACGGAAGAGCTGCCTTCCTATTAGGACCTCCCTGAGCTCGCTTGCCCGCGACTGTCCAGTGCGATGCGGGCTCTCGCTGCGTCGTTGCAAGGCCTCTGGCATCCATTCCTTCATCTTCTCTATCCGATTCTCGTTCTGTACGTAGAATTAGCCACCAACTTGCTCAACGCATTTACGACTTGGTATTTTAGAACGCTGTCCGTAGTGTGATGACTTACCGAAGGATGTGTACTCAGCAACTCCGGCACCTCCTGGCCTCCCCGCCGAGCAAGGTTCTGCATGCGTTCCCAGTAACCTATCGCCGCCCTGGGGTCGAAACCCGCCTCGGCCATCATCATGAGGCCGATGTAGTCTGCCTCGCTCTCCATCTTTCGTGTCATTGGCAGGCTGAACAGATAGTTCTGGATAAATCGCCCTCCTGATAAACTCCACAGGCCAAATAGAGCCAGTCCAGGAAGGGCGCCGATCAAGAAGAACAGGCTCCCCGATGTCAAGTTAGCCACACACGCGGCCGACATGCGCTCTGCGCTGTGGGCGGCAACAGCATGTGCAATTTCGTGGCCCATGACCGCCGCAAGGGCATCTCGGTTCCCACAGACCCTGATCAAGCCGCTGTAGACAAATAATCGATTACCCGGTGTGACGAAAGCGTTCGCAGTTCCTGAAAAATGAGGATTTGTCAGTTACCGGACGGAAAACGGTCCTCAGAGAAGAAAAAAAAGGGCAATGGCAAGGGGGCACAATCGTACGTTCGTCATCAATCACATGTACCACCCATTCACGGTCTTTCATCCCACTGACAGGAATGAGCTGCTCCATGACCTCTTGCACAACCCTCACGCGCCGGTCCCTCGGCGGCAGGAAGCGTCCCCCCTCCTCCTCAATCTCCTGGGCGATGGCATCGGCGTTGGCTGACCCCAGTATGTCCAAGAAACCCTCTCCCAGGAAGTTGAACCGCCGGCGGCCAGTGACTGGCACCGTCTGCGAGTTGGCCAGGTAGAAGGCCACGGCGGCACCAACACACCCGACGACGAAGAGTCTGGAGTTCCGACTACGGCCTGCATTCTGGAAGCGGTCTGCAGTCTTGTGAGACAGAAGAGGGCGGGCCTCTTGCAGCCTTCGTTGCAACTCGCTGGGGTCGATGTTCCGGCGCTTCGGGGTCGGCGAGTAGAAGCGAGGGCGGGCTGAGCGTGCGACTGTGGCACACGCCGAGGGTGGGAGGAGGATTGCGGCCTTGGCGGGACGGGCGAGGCAGCGCTGCCGGAGCAGGCGCGGGGCCAGCATCTCTCTGGCCGTCTAGCAGAGGCGGGGATGGCCAAGGTTCGCAGGTCGAGGATCGCAAATAACGGGTGTCGAGGCAGCAGAGCAGTGATCAATGGTGGTGACAATCGACAGGAGCCCCCAGCCGGCTCGACCTCTCCCCACTGGCGTCACACAGTTGCTGGCACCTTTCCAGTTCCAGGTAGCCTTGTCACCTGTAAGCCCGAGTCTCGGTGTGTTTTAGCGTAACGGGGCATAGTTTCTGCACCGGCTGCAGGCAGTTGACACGCCCCACCGCTGATCTCATGGATCTAGGCACTCTCCATCAGCTTCTCGGTGGATCCGGGTCCTTATCTGCTTTCAAATCCATCCTCGAGGTTCACCACCCCAACCATGTTAGTTGCCGGGGCCGTCTGACAGCTACTTGTATTGCAATTTCGATGATGACAGGATTCTTTTGTGTGACCGCTATGTTTCCAAGCTCCATCTTGGTCGGTTGCGTCGACTCGGCTCGTTTCCAACATGCCGCCGCCTGCATACCTGGGCTTCAATATAATCAAATCATGGTTGACCCAGCCTAAGATTTCTTTGCCAACCACACCCATGGATCACCTTTGCGTCCAACTGTATCCAATTCAACTACCGGAAGGATTTCCTCTCCATGACCATCTTAAGCCAAAGGTAGCTGCCGCATGAACACCCTAGGCCGAAGTCCCAAGCCCTGCCTGACAGGTCTCACTCTTAACTCGCGTCAGAGTCTCCGAGTATTCCGTAACCCTGACAGTGACTATTGTCCCCCACTAACTCCCTAGTCGCTTTCTCACTTCTTCTTCTGATTTTATTCACAGCTTCGTTCCCCAGCGTTCATCCCCTACCTTCCCAGTATCACTTCTGTCCCTAAATTCGCCATACCTGTAGTCGCGGCACAAGAGAAGAACCCCAAAATGGCTTCCACTTCCTCCAAGGATGAGGCTGCCGCCTCTCTCATCCAACAGTCATTCAAACCCTCAGACAGCCCAGAAACCCCCAGTATCCAGGCCGTCGTCGACAAGCTCGGCCTCAGCCCACACATCGAGGGCGGCTACTACAAAGTCACAGACATATCCCCCAGCACCATCCCGTCCCCATACCCGCTCACCCCCCGCTCAAAGGAGACCCTCGCCCTGGCTGGGACCTCCGAGGCCGAGAGCGACGCCTCGGTGCGCCTCATGTCCACGACCATATTCTACTACCTCACCCCGAACCGACCCCAGGGCACCTTCCACGCCAACCGGAGCCGCATCATCCACACTCTCCACCACGGCCGTGGGCGCTACGTCCTCATACACCCGGATGGGCGCCTGGAGACCTTCGTCGTCGGGTCAAACCTCGACGCCGGCGAGAGGTTGTCCTGGGTGGTCGAGGGTGGGGTGTGGAAGGCCAGCTTCCTCCTCCCCAGCGAAGAGGCAGACGCCGGCGAGGAGGGACTTCTCATTTCCGAAACCGTTGTGCCTGGTTTCGATTACCTAGATCACGAGTTCCTCACACCGGAAGCATTCAGTGGCTTGCTTCCTGAAGATGCGGCCTCCAAGTTGGAGTGGTTAGTGAGAGGGCAGGAGGAGAAGACGATTCAAACCGATGCTCTCGAAGCAGGTGGTTCTGTGGGGAACAACATAACCCCACGGTTGTCCCAAGTCAGCTCTTAAGGACCGTTCTTAGAAGTCAAGGTTTGATACATAGATGAGAACTTCCTGAGATCAAAGAGTCAGCGTACAAATAGAACGACGAAACGGAGCTTAAGACAAACCATTGGTTTACCTGCTTTCGATACCCAAACACACATAGTTCAGAAGATCCAATTGCAAAGATAACATGAGGTGACGACAGACCTAAAACAAGCAGATCATAGCTGAATCCTTTCAATGGTAAAGTTAAATGTAATTAAATTTGAGACCAAATATGCATACTGTAAAACCCGAGAAACGAAAGACGGTTTCCCATCTCCCCTATTCTCGACTAATGTGATCTTTCCCATGTATGTACACTGGTCATACAATTTCAAGAGTAGAAGCTTCGTCTATCCAACTCCGTCGTCATCCCTCCTGAGAGGATGTCTCCAAATAATTCAACTTCGTCGTAAAATATGCCGCCATAAATCCGCTCACTGCTTTTGAGGGGGTATATATACTCTTCGAGTCGTCTAACAACCGAAATGCGGCTGTGAGCCAAGATGGGCTAATATTGTAAAAAAAAAAAAAATATATATATATATAAAAAGGGGGAAATGCCAAAAAGGGAAACAAAAGATATTAAACGAGAGAACGTTGACGTCGTGTCACATCCATTAAATAAATTGGTCTGGTTTCCTTCTTCCTCTTCCTCGTTCCGGGCGAGCCCTCGCGTCGCTTCCGCCGCTTTAGTAGTCACTAAGTCGAGGGCTGCTCGCTCTGCTCTCCTCCGCACTGCCACCGGCCGACAAGTAGGTCTGGTCGATCCTGAAGATCCAGTCCATCTTATCCCGCTCGCTCCTGGCCGCGAATAACCAGGTGTTGTCGGTGCCGTATATGGCAAAAACTGCCGCCTGCATCCGCTCACTGAGACACTGGAGACCTTGCCCATCGCCATTGGCTGAGCGGTCATTCGATCCTGTCCAGACCGTAGATATCACCCTGCCCGATGCTGTGCGTCGGTGTCCCGGGGTGAAATCCGCGCCCCCATTCCGCCCTGGAGGTTGGTCGTAGTCGTCCGGGCCATGCAAAAGTCCGAGAACTCCCGGCTGGCTGTCAACGCGCGAATTACGCAGGCTCACAAGGCCGACCTCGTCTCCGTCTGTTGCTGAATGAATGTGGAGGTAGGGGCGACGTAGCTCCACGAACCTCTTCACCCAGCGAGTTGAGTTATCGTTGGGAACAAGAAGATAACCTCCCTTGAGGACCTTGGGGTTCTTCGGCACGCGAATAATTGTCGTGATCAGGCTTGGGGGAAGAGGAGCCTCTACTGCAACTCCGTCTTCTGGGGGTGCCGTGTTCGCCGGGCTGAGAATATTTGTCAAAGGGTCCGGGAATTTGTTCCATAACTTCACACAGCGCTCTAAAAGGTCGGTTTGGATATCGTTGTACTCCCGCTCAACCTGAGGCTCGTCTGACGGGGCGATCTCTTCCACTGGCTTCTCTTCCTGCTCCTCGGTTTCTTCATCGCCGCCATGAATAGAGGGTGCTGGTGACGTGTCTGGCGTATCATTCAAAAGGTCGTCATCATTGGGGATGATAGGCTTGAGTTCTGGAGATGGCTCCGGCTCCGGTTCCTTCACCTTTGTGTAGTTATTGGATTCATCCAGACCCATCTTGTTAAGAATGGTTTCCATAGTGCCAACTTCAGTGGCACGGCGCCGCTTCTGACGAGCCCGGATGAAATCGCCCACCAACGACACCCCGCGAGGAGCCCAGCTCTTCAGGTTCTCTTCGCCCTTGACGTAGTCATGCTGGCTGTTCATCCTCCAAAGATCGCCGATTCTCTTAATTGGGGCAGGGCGCATCGTGAGGGTGAAGATGCCAGTTGATGACCGCACAAACCGGGCATTCTTGAACAGTGAAGAGAAGACCGATGTCTGCCGGACAAAGGTTCTGGGCAGTATCTGCACGCAGACTTTTTGTGAAAACTTCATGGGCTCGGCCAGCTTCTCTGAACTGATTTCCCAAGCGACCGTCAGCTGGACTCGGTACTTGTCAGCAGTGACCCGGTCAAGCAGCAGAGAGCCGTGCAAGCTAGAGTCCCATTGCGCGTTGACGTTGATGCAGCGGGTTCCATTGGCATTCTCTCGGAAGACTGGGTTCGAGGCGAGCTTCAGGGAGATAAAAGGCTCGTTGCTTGTCATGTTGGGCATCTTACCAGCGGAGTCTAGAAGCTCTATCTTGCCAATTCGGACTGACGTTACGTCTCCCCAGGGCAAGGCATCTCCAGAGCTGTGCGAGATGTCGATGCTAACACGCCTTTGCAGACCTTGGTGCAGCTGGAACGTGCCAGTATCCAGTTCACTTGTCTGGGCCACTTCGACTGGTGCATACTCGCCTATTTCATCCAGCTCTTTAATCTGGATTCGAGACAGAATATCGTGCTTTTCTTGGGTGAAGAACTGTGTCTCGTTAATTCGCGAGCCAGATCCATTGGCCATGGGAGAGCTGTCGCGCATATCATCCCAGCTGAGTAGCTTGTCGAGATGCATCGAGGTGACATTTGCGAAGATCGCAGCTCTCAAGGTGACATTTGATGGAGCCGAAAGAGGCACGCTCATGCTATGAACGCTCTCAAATCGTATCGGACCCTCGTCGAATTCGTTTATCATCTGAGTTGTTGTGATGCCGTCTTCCTCGGAGATACCAGGAATAAAGAGCTGGGCATGTACCTCTGTGCCCTCGCGTTCAGCAAACCCAATCAGCTCATGCATGACTACATTGAACTTGAGAGTATTTGAAGGTGCTCGAGCGTGCGAAGGCTCAAGGGATAGCTTGATGATACCAATAGTGCTCGATGTGTACGGAGACAGTACCTCAAGCGCGAAATCTTGGACTCTACTCTCAAACACAGCTCGGAGTGGCACCTCTGCCTCTCCGACGAGAGTATAAGAAGGCATGCAGGCCTCCACAAAGGGATTGTCAAGACTCAGGTGTTGTGCGTACTCGGGCTGGTCCAAGTACTGGTGCATCTGCCTCATGATTCGCACGCGGTCCAAGAGCTTGTTAAGACTCCAGAGCCGGACGACGCTATTTCGGTAATCGACAACCCTAATACCAATACACGGCTTCCGCGCTTCCTCGAGAGCAATGTCATCGCTCTCGTCTGTCAGGCCATTCAGCATCATGTCATAGGACGAGCATACGGAATGCCCGACATCCACGACTGTGAACTGGAAAACGACACTCTCGTCAAGCTCGTTGCTCATGATCTGCGCCTCTTTCAGCGTGGCGGCGCTTTGCAGGACGGCTTCGGCCATCTTGACATAGTGTCTGCTCCGCCAGACTTTGATGACATCCTTTGCGCGCTTGACTTCTTCCTCCGAGAGCTTGGGATTGGCCTTGGGTCGTTTCAGCGGGTCCATCTTCTCGATCTTCTCCTCGTACTTTTTGCGCTGAACGTTGAGCTGTTTCTGCATATCCTCCTTCAACTCCTTCAAGGTGTTCTCCATCCGGACCTTTTCCTTCTTGATTTCTTCAACCTCGACATTTGCGGCCTCCGCGTTCTTGAGCTGCTCCTGGAACTCCTCTTTCTGTCTTTCAAGCTGATTTTGTAGCTCTTCACGTACATCTTTCAGCTTGTCGTCAGAATCGCCTTGTCGCGGTGTGGAGGGCATCGTCAGAGCGGTATCGAGAGAGAAGTTGTCAATCGTGCCCGTAGACAGATACTTTTCTCTCAGAGGGTACGAGGTGACGGACTCCGAATCCTCTCCATCTTCCCGGCCCTGGACACGCTCTGCCCTTGCCTTCTGAACATCTTCAAACAGCGCATTCAACTCCTCATCCGTCAGGCTAGTGAAGTTTTGCTCTGTACCAAGAATAGCGCCGGCAGCCTCCCTCCGAGCAAGAGACCAGTCTGAATCTCGTCCTGCACGTCCAAACGCGGCAGGTGAGTCGGGTCTGGAATCGGCGAAATCGGACACTCTACTAATTGTCCTCTCATGCCCAGATCGCATGGGGCTTGGCGATGGTGTTGATCTGTCTATCAGCTGGCTTGCCGTCACCGAGTGTCGCAGCAAGCTACCGCCAACTCCACCCTCCGCTCTTTCTGCTCTGGCTTCCATGGGATGGTTGAATCGGAAGATGTGGAAGTCGCCCAAAATCACTCGGTACCCTGAGTGCAGTTGCGTAGGTTCTGCAATCCGTTTGCCATTAACCATAACGGACGCCCCCTCCGATGGGAAGACTGTCACCGTGCCATCTGAAGCATTTTCGAAAGTGCAGTGGTCGTGCAGAATACGTGTGCCGTTCAACCGGATGTTAGCCTGGTGGTCGGCGTTTGTATCCACGTTGCCAACAGTGGTCGTGCCGGGTTTGAGGTTGTACACGAGACATTCGGCCAGTAAAGGATCATCAGACAAGTTGACCAAATGCGGCATCTTCTTTGGCGTTGATAAGCCAATGAATCCCTTTTCAATGCTAATTCCCAGTTCTTCCAAAGCAGCCTCACGCTCCTTGTGGATTTCTTCCGTCTTCAGAAGCTTCTCCTCCCAGGTTTGGTTCAGGTCTGTCAGCAGTTTCTCGCTCTGGCTGAGTTGCTCCGCAATTTCGGCCTTGGAGACCTTCTTGACGGTACCATCGGCACCAGTGATGCTAACCATTTGCTTTTCTAGTGGCGTGTTCGGGTCATACATCTCGTCGGCAGGCACGGTAGCGCCAGCAACACCTCCAGGGACACCTCCGCCTAGCTTGCTTCGGAGCAGAGCCAGTTCTTCCTTGAGTTCACGGATCATGCGGGCGTTGGCATCTTCGTTGACGACGGCGTGGTTCTTGATACGCTTAGCCGAGTCGGCGTATCGCAGAGTACTCAGCGTCTCATCGTAGTTGATGTCTGCAGGACTGATGGCCGCAATCATCGCCGTCATACTGTTTCCACCGAGTGAGTCCTTCAGCAACCAGGTCAAAACACTGTCTCGATACGGCACTTGGCCTGAGCCCTTCTTCTTCTTGCCGGTTGACATATCAGCCAATGCCGCAATGACACGACCAAGGGTAGAAAGAGATCGGTTGATTTCCGCACCCTCCTTCAAACGCGCGCCAGTCGCTCCAGTCGAATTAGCTCTTTCCGAACCAGCCAAATCGACCAGACTGATCTTGGCAACCTTCTCAGCCTCCATCTTGGTCTCTATGTCCTTCTTCTTCTGCGTCAACATCAACGTGAAGACAGCGTGACTCCGACTGGATGTTTCGTTCATGTTTGTCGCGGCCACTGTTCTGGCCTTATTACCCTCGTCCATCAAGTGCTCAATCTCCTGGAAGCCAGTAACAACTAGCTTTGCCAAATCTTCTACGTAGGGTCCAGTAGAGGGATGTTCACGGACTTTCAGGCCGCTCTTGGTTGACGGGTTGAGCAAATCGCGGACTCGTTCGTTGTAGATTTCGAGGTAGGAAACTTCCACCGTGCACTTGGTGACACCATCCGACTGAATGGTCTGGATGCGGTTGAACATCTCCTGGCAAATCATGGGGATAATTCCCACCTCCTTGCCATATCCCATCATAGAATACGACTTTCCGGACCCGGTCTGGCCATATGCGAAAATACAGTTGTTGTACCCATCGAAAGCATTGTCGAGCAACGGGGCTCCAAGATCGTCGAAGAGGTTGTTCTGTCCCGCATAGTTACTATCAGCTTTGTTGAAGGACCAGTATGACCTGTCGAATGCGAAAGACTTCGGCTGGTTGTCCTTGGCGCTGCCCTTGCCTTGGTGTCCGTCGGGTACTGAGATGATAGTCTGGTTGTCCTTCATTTCCACAATCTGCTTTGCTCCTCTATCCATTTCTAGATGCACTGTCAGCCCCAACCGTCGCGCGTTATCGCGGAGCAAAGTTCAAGCATACCTCTGCTGTTAAACGGCCGCACCCTCACCACCACCTTAATGTTGCCACCTCCGCCGGGCGCCATGATTGCTCGAGTTGATGCGGGGACCCAGCTTGGCCCCCTACGAAGGTTTTGTGGCTTCGGTCAACGTTGTCAGAACAACCCGCTGGCTCCCAGGTTCCGTCTGGACGCTGGCTGTATTTCCACCTCGGTGCGTGTGTTGATTCGTCTACCGCATCATCCGTAAGACAATTCAATATCAGAAGCGCCGTATGCCCAGCTTGCGCCGGTGCGGAACAGGATAGACAAGGGGCAGCAAGCGACGCCGTATTCGTTCGTCCGGAGATGTACTAGGTAGAGCTGTAGCTTTCGAAAATAGTCGCAGGCGATACTAGCTGAGGGAACGTGGGGTTCGTACGAGTTCTGTGGTTTGTATGCTGTTGTTTACAGACAAGAAAAAAGTAATTATGATATGGACGAAGCAGAAGCACTAGTGCAGCACGCACACCTCTAAATCCACCCTGGAATCCCACGACTCAACTTCTATGTACGTATCTCATGAAACGCGGTCGCGGGCCGGACGGGCGTGATGCTGCAGATGCGCACGTGAAATTGCCCACCCCCTTCCGCCAGCCGGGTATTAGCCGGCGCCGCCTGGCCTCCGCCAAAGGCCTAGCACGCGTCCGGGCTCTCACACCCCGAGTTTTATTAACGACGTAATCTGGGCTTCGTATCCTGGCCGATGCATAATGTTTACCCTCGCTTGGTGATGGCGACTCTCTGCAATCTTAAGTAAGTCAATTTATGAATTTTCCAACTCGCAATGCAGGTCATGTCTTTCGGCCTTCTTCTTACGGCGGCCCCTTCTTCAACACTATTCACTTGTAGGTATTCTTGGCTCAGTTGACCAGCACCCTTGCAGATGAATCTCTGCGCTTTGTCGACTTCTCCTTTTTTTTTTATGTGCGCAACCCCCTTGTAAGGATAAAATAAGTAAACATACTGCCTCTTTCAATGGAGGGACTCTGGCCCAAACAACCACCGGCATAACCACGCACGCCGACTGTGTACTCTGTGCGTACATTGTCGCTGGTCACGCGCCAATGAGCTGTAGACTACCACTGTATAAAATACCAGGCTTGCTTATCAGTCTCTCAGAAAATTGTTCTCACGGGGCAACACCCTTCCTTCGCATAAAGCCGAGTCATCTCCTCCTGCGGGATGGTCAATGCATGTGCCTCATACGCAGCTTTGCGAGTCTTCATTGGTGGGTTGGCCGCACTTAATGCAGCCTCTCTGAGATGCCTCTCAGAAGACGGACAGCGACTGGCTACCGGTGGTGAATGGGGCCAGAGCTGTATGACATGCGTCTTGGTTGCTGCGGAGTCTCTGCTGTGAAGGTGTGGTTCCGAATTCCTCCTCACGCAGGGAGTTTGTTTGTGAACCCGTGTCTTACTTGACCAATCAACCGACACTTGATGCCGGGGCTCAATGAGTAGTTGAAAAAGTTTCCTCGATTGTGATGTTGATCCCACCGGTTCTACTCCTTGTTTGTCTTCTCAAAAGTCATCTCATACCGGTCTACGTTGAGTGGTCCGGTGGACCACAGTACTAGCGCTTGTATATGAACCGAAGCTGCCTGGGGAGAGGTCGAAGGCGCAGTTGGAGCAGAAGCAGCGTCTGCCTTGACTGTGATATATCCAATAACGTTGACCCATTCACCAACACGAGTCTGTTCTTCCCCCAAAGTCTCTAGGACAAGACCCACGTCCACATAAGCCGTGACATTGGTGTCTCTAGGGTATGCATGGGCGAGCTGAAGAATCGCACCCCTTGTTGAATATGCAAGCACACTGCACCACCAGATCATCAGCCTTGCAAGGTAAAAAATAAGAGTGGAAGATCTGTCAATAGTCTGTTTCACTGCATGTTGGCGGTGACACCATGCGAACCGGATCCCTCTGTTTGCACATACCATCCAAGGAAGCGCACCTTGTCATGAATTGCGTACGTCGGCAACTGTGAGAGGAGGCACAGCTGAGAGGGCAGAGGACCACGAGACATTCCCGCGTAAATCGGGGCCGGATTCCACACCTGATATCAAGAGTATAGGCGCCATATATACGCGATAACAGACAATGATCTCATCGACCAAGGATAGATTGAGAATTCGGCTGGTCCCTGGACTGAAAGGCAGTCACGGGTAGTGCAGGATTTGGAGCCACTTACCAAGTGTGACGTGAGCTCCACAGTGCTATTTCCCATACCACAAACACTGTGCCGCGATGCCATTTAATAGCACGACATCTGCCAGCACCTGATTATGAGGTTATTTGCCGTATCTGCCATACTATCGTTCCAGTCTCCTCACAATATAAGCAACTCTACATTCATCTCTGATCGCAATGGCTTCCGACGGCTTTCCTCGGTATCTCTACAAAATAGTCCCGACGGCTCCCCCGGAGCCCTTGCCTCAAGAATATCCTCTCTCGGAGTTCGACCAGACTGATGGCTTTGTTCATCTGAGCACTGACGAGCAGGTAGGTGGCGTGAAAAAAAGAAACGCAGTCTCACACGAGTTTGCTGACATGCTGTAGGTACCCAACACCTGTGACCTTTTCTTTACCCAGACCACACAGCTCTGGGTGCTGAAGCTGGAGTTTGCCCCAGTCAAGGATGATATCAAGTGGGAGGGTGGTTTCCCCCACCTGTATGCCAACTTTGGAGCCAAGCAAGTAGTTTCCGTCAACAAATTTAGCAGATCAGAAGATCAGAAGTGGAGTGAAAACATGAAGGGCTCTACGTGGCTGGAATAGCGCTTCTGTCCAATTTATTTTATTATATTTCAGGGTTTCAAACCAAGAACCGGGTAATAGGTCGAGCTGAATATATCTACATATATCTTGCCCCCTCTAAATTTGAGACCCTTCTTGTCTTCCAAGGATGCTCATGCCTTGAGGCCCAAATCCTTCTCTACCATGCCCTTGCAGATGGGGTGGTAAAAGTCCTGGTTCTTCTTGAATGTCTCTAGTGCAAGCTCGCGGTCGACCTTGTTCAGCTCGCGGAACAGAGGTCGGACAAACTTCATGCGGCCAACCTGTCCGAGAAGTCCGGCAACACCAGCGTAGGAAGACGAGTCTGAAGCTTTCATGGCGATGACATAGTAGGCCGATTTGAGCTCGACATTCTGCGAGGTCGTGAACTCGTACACATCGCCGAGTAGTTTCGCCCTTTCCGCACTTAAAGCTTTCTGCTGCTGCTGGATCGTCTCAAGGAAGACGAGCTTCTGGTTCCCAGTGAAGGATTCGACATCTTTGGCGCTTGGTTCGAAGGACTGAAGTAATAGTAATGGTTAGTATAGATCACATGCGAAGGGGCGGGGGCTAAGTCGAGTTTAACAAGGCGAGAGAAACTCACATCATCTTCCCACTTGGCAGCCAACTCATAGCACTGGTTGGCTAAACTAGTGTCGAAAGTAGGTTTGGGTGGGAGACCCGGAGTGTAGAGTCGGCCTTCCCAGTCAATGTCCTTAATTTTAAGCTTGATCTCCTCATCGCCAAGGTTGTTGAAAAAGTCCATGAAGGTATCACGGAACTCAAAAGAGTCAAGGGACTTTCCCGACCACTTCGTGAAGTAATGGGGAATGAACTTATCGAAGTTGGGGCGGCCGACTACTCGTTCAAGGTAATAGACAAGGTGGAAGCCCTTTTCGTAAGCGATGGTGCTGTATACATCCTCGGGATCGACGTTATCATGGCTAATGATCAGTTTAGTGTACTCATGATCCGCACCAAAGTGCTTCACAGCGTCCTCTGGATAACGTTAGTAAAAGTACTTGCAAGTCTTTTGGAAAGGAGGCGCGAGGGAAGGGTTACCGAGGGCTTTCCAGCCAAGGATGGCGGAGAAATCAAACTCGGCGTCGCCATGAATTACAGCTTGGATACGGCGTTCAAGATACATAGTCCAGCCTTCATTGAGCCAGCTAGTGGGAGTCAGCAAGGGGTATTGGATTGCGATGGCCAATGTCAGAGAATAACTCACAAATGCTCCCAGCTGGCATTGGAAACCAGGTTACCGCTCCAGCTATGGCTGAGCTCGTGGGCAATCACGTCAACATTTTGACGGTCGCCGCTGATGATAGTTGGTGTAGCGAATGTATAGATGGGGTTCTCCATCCCTTGACTAGAATTAGCATTAAGAAGCTTATGATGGGGCAATATTTTATGCATTTACCTCCGTAAGGGAAGCTGGGGGGGAGAATTAACACATTATAGGCCCCCCACTTGTAGGGGAAGACAAGCTTCTCAGCAACCTCCATGAACTTCTCCATGTCTCGTTCGAGCTCCCACTTACAGCCTTCGAGCTCATTTGGGCCGGTGGCGACGACGGATCGCGGACCAATCGGTGCGGTGACAATGTCACCGGAGGCAACGGCAAAGAGATACGAAGGGATGGGGACCTTTTGCTCGAACTTGTACAGCTTAGACACGCCAGGGGTTGCTTCATGATCCCCGACAGGAACACCGCTAGCTACCACGGGCAGAGTGGAAGTCAAATTGAACGTAAAGGGAGATTTGACGTCAGGTGTATCTTGGCAGGGGAATATGGAGCGGGCATTGATAGCCTGGCACTGAGAGAACATGTAGGGGTGCTTCTTATTGGAAGTTTGCGCAGGCGTAAGCCATTGCAGGGCAGTACATTTCTCAGTCGTTTCCAGATCAATAGTCAAATTGATAATCTCGCCCTTGGGAGCGCCTCCAGGGACGGAAATATGCAGAGGGGCACCGAGGGGTTCAGAATGGGGCTTCAGCTCCCACCGGGACTCGACTGAGTTGACATTGATGGAGGAGACCTTGACATGTCTCGAGTCAAGAATAACCTCGGTGCTCTCCTTATCGGTCTGAGACTCGAGTTGGAGAACGACGGACCCCTTGAGACGCTTGGCGTCGAAGTCGAGGGTGAAGTTAGCGGTGGTGTGCTTAGTGCGCCAATCCCCGTAGTTGGATTTGGTGCTTGGGTCCCGGACAGCCATGCTCACGGATGATGCAAAGGATCGCTGACAAGATTTGATGTTGACGGTGAAAGTTGTGTGTTGCTTGGTGAGACCTGCTCGCTTCAGACACGACGAAAGCCACGACATGAGCAAAATGCTCTTTTTCCCACTTCACCGAGAAAAAACACGTCAGAGCCGATACGAGCCGTCCAGTCTGCACCTAACCCACTTGCTTGGTCGTTGAAGCTTCCTCATCGGTTGGTTGTTCCATCGCTCATGCCTAAACGGGACAAACAGTCACGTGCGCTTTGCTGCGAGCTGGGCCGTGGTTCCGTCGCACCTAAACTCTTATCACGCTCATAATCTCACATCAAACTTTCATAATCTTATGCGGCTGTCCTTATAATCATGATGAGGATCATAGGATGCTCATTGAGGGACTTATTCACATGAAGCTGTTTCATGCTGCGCTATTGATCCGCTACTGATTCTTGGTAAAAGTGATGGAGGGAGCAAATTGAGCGAAAAGGACCAATTTATTCATCCGAGTAAAAGCCCGTCCAAACTCGAAGATCGCAATTTGAACTAGGATCGTGAGGCTGTATTGTCCGCTCGGAGATGCTACGATTCTCAGCATTCCATGGAGTGGAGAGAGCTATCTCGGCGTGTGAACTATCAAGACGGCTGAATGCATTACCGCTCAGAAAAGGTTAAAGCCCCGTTTTAGACTTCGGATGGAATTTTCACTGCCTTGGAAGACGAGCATCCACGGAGCCCTCCTCCGGAGATGGGTTTGGTATGTCCATCTCTTGGAACAGGAGCCTCCAGTCCACTACTGTACATGGTGGATGGATTTGATGTCTGCCCACCAAGAACACTCAAACAGCGACACCTTGGACGGCGACGGACACAAAAGGCCGAATTCACTATAGATCTCTGCAATCTATTACTTGTATGGTAATCACTTATGAGCATGATACCATGTAGTCTTGGTTCAAACCAGCTGGTCCCTGGAGCAAGCGGAGGTGTTTGCCATCGGGGTTTCGCCCCGGATTTTTCCACTCCCAATTCACGAAAGACGCCATTGTTGAGATCATGAGCCAGGCCCTGTTGGCGTGGATGGCGACACCACGATAACGAAAACGAATCTTGACCCACCTGAGCGTGGTTACAGGGCTGGTATGTAAGTCTGAAGAGGGATTGTTTCAAGTTTCCCATGTGGCCATGATGCTTCCAGGGTCCAAAACCAGGGAAACTGGTTGCGAAGAGAGATGCAGCTCTTACAAAGAGTCACTGAGCCTGTTTTAGCTGTTGTTGACGACGTCCGTAGAGCAGGGGGCTCATTCCGTGCATCCGGCCTGGTATCTAATGATATCATGAACAGCATTCTGTTGGCATACAGTGGGTAGCTAATCATCAATAGCAGTCAAACCTAGGCTACAGTGAATGGAGACATGGATCTGAAGAAAGGACTTTCCTCTTGCGATGCCTCGCTGTGGGGCTAGTATTCCTTTACTGGGACATCAGGAACTGGAGACAAGCTCCCGTCATCGTCTGACAAAATCCCACGATGCAAGCCTTTGATTAATCGACTCCCAAAGCACGAGGCCGCAGGTGGCAGCCTTCATAGGCAATGGGGGAAGAAAGAGCCTGAGCTAAAGACCCCGGTGCTGCTTTTTGCCAACCTAACCCAGGGCTTCGCCTGCTGACTGGGAGCGGCCGTCTGTGGGTCTTGTTGAATTCTGCAGAGAAGATCAAAAGAGTGCCTTCTGCTCATCTGGCTGCTCGACCTTGTAAAAGGAGGTTGGTCCCGGGAGTGAGGTTGTCCGAGCGTGCGTGTTGGTGTAGTTCCTGCAGAATCACTAGCCAAGGGTCACAAACCATCCGATTGGTAATGGCTGCTGTGCATGTACTGCTTCTAGAATCATGACGCCGGGAATAGATGAAATTTCTGCACGTGCGTATTGGCGGGCCTGTAAGATGTTGCGCCTGCTTCCTGTTAACCTGCAGGTACGTCGGACGCAGCCCAAGAAGGGCCAAGCTGGACAAGGGCAGCACATGGGAATCGAGTGTAAGCGAGTTGGTGCGTGCTCATAACCAAGCCCGGGACGCTTGATTAGTGGCCAATGCCCGACGAGCAACCAAAATGTGAATTGACAGGGACCGAATGCGTGGTAATTAGGTGCAGGACAGGCAGGGAGTAGTTGGGACGAGGTCCAACACCACGCCGGGTTGGGAACGCGGAACAGGGCTCGCCGGGGAAGAAGCACTAGATTATCGCAGCAGGCCGACGACTGACGAGAATCTTGGTCATAGTAATACAGTCGTTCATCCACCGGTGACCACCGCTAACCCACCATCATGGTCCAGGCCATGAGCGCAGGGCCATTGTCGGGGATTTGGATTGTGGGTAATAACGGGTAGTAGTAAGTCGATGGGTCACCCCCGGGCGGGTTTGAGCCGTTTGCCATCATCAGCCGTCTCGGAGGCTTCTCATTGCTCCAGGAGAGAGGGCGAGAGAGAGCACGGGACAGCCAAGGCCCTTTACCGACGGTTGCTCACCGTAGACCAGGCTGGGGAAGGCCCTTCCATGTAATCGGCAGTGGCCACTGCTTGGACGGAGCTGTTGAATGAAATGTACAGGCAAGTACCATGGGCCGGCATCAGGGAGCATCCAGGTAGTATCCAAGTACTAGCAGCCACTGAGGTAGGTGATTGCAGCTTGGGCAGGTACGAAGAAGACGGGACGGAGTATTATGGCGGAAGGAAGGAAGGAACCAACCTAGTGCCAATGAAGCGATCACTGTGGTGCATCACCTCAGTAAGCGGCGTCCGATTCACTCATGACACTGCCATGGAAATCAGAATCACCAGACCACCAGCGACTTTGGCTCTGCACTAATGCGGCAGAACCACCTCACAACGTTCCTTCAACACAACTCCAACTAAGGCTGTGCTATCTATATCCGTCTGACGTCCCCGTAATGGCAATGGTCCGCCGCTACAGCAAAGAGCCTGCCTCATGTACTATGTACGCAGCGGGGAGACGAAACCCATTTTTTACGGTGGATAGAGGTTATGAAACATGCCTCGGGCGAGTGAGAAGTTCTCTCGAGGGCGGCAGACATGGTTGTGTTGCACCAGAATACGGCGAGACCAGGGATCCCGGCGTTTTATCCTGTCCCCTCACTGTCAGCATCCCTGCCACTGCCCGCAAACCGGGCTAGGATGCCAGGGGATTTGGCCCAGTCTGGACAACCTCTCTACACCTGTCCGCTCTCGTCTCGTCTCGCCCCGCCCCGCCAATGCATTTGGATGTCCTCGAGCCCCTGATTGACTCGACCTTGTGCGAGCTTCTTCTTCAAGATGGGTGACCAGCGAGCAGAGTGCCTGCCGCCAGGCACACCACACACCCCAATGTGACTCTCGCAGCGCTCCTCGTGGTCGTTGGTGCGAGAGGGGTGCAACGGCCCTCTCCCATTGTTTCATCTGAGACTTGCCTTGCTGCAAGGGATAATGACCATGACGACGACGGACAAGATGATGATGTATGATGATGCACGAATGCGACACGCCCAGCCATGCCTATTCTCATGCACAATGCAATGTGCCAGTTGCTGCTCCCCACACTTTCTGTCGGCTGGTTGGTCCCTTCTGGTAGCCCTGGTCACCACTGCCTGCTCGGTGGTGAGAGGCCCTCGCCGGTTGAACTTCTTGAATCCTTGGGGGCCTGGGGCGGGCTACGATCCTGGTTCCCGACCGCCACCCTCGCCCCTTGGAGGCTTCAAGAAGCAGGGTTCTTTCGGGCATCGCACTAACTAACCTTCTGAGACTGCGAGCAGCTGTTGGAAAGAAAGTACGTACAGAGTTATTCTAGTACGCCGCCTGAGCTTGATCTTGGCACGTCCTAGTTCCGAATGCTACGAGCAAGGAGTGGACAGGCACTGAGAAAATAATAATATCTGAGCGCTACCCATTCTAGATCTTGGATTTAACCTTCCACCTCTCCCACCGTCCGAGGATAGAGTCGTGTTTGAAACAACGACTGATTGGAGCCAGTCTCTTCTCAAACATCATGGCCCACATTGCTGCTTGTATGGCGGGAAACCGTTCCAGCATTTCAATTCAGACCATCGCCAGGAGCGAGTCGGTAGGTTCTGCCCTCTGTTCCTCCAACGTAGTCTATTCAGACCATATACGCTCGGAACATCGCACTAACTCACCTCGTGGTGCATCAGCCAATGCCTTCTAACTCAGGCTCGCCCACGCCTTCGCACCCGCTTAGAATGCAGCCGGGACAAGAGCAGCCAAAAAGATACCAGTTCTTCCCCCGAGAGACCCAGCTTCCAGTTCTCAACAGCAACAAAGCCCTGGATCCCGAGAAGGCATACGCCTTTGCAATGGCTCAAAAGGTGAACCGATCCGAGAGGCAAGCCGGCTCCCCAGGGCAACGATCTGGTGCTAGTTCATCCATGTCCATGCGACGACGCAAACCTAGTATGCCAGACATTGAACCCAGCCCTAACTTCATAGACAAGCCAATGGACTCCCGTGCGTATATCACTATCTTTCTTCTATCCTTGGTAATACTAATTGAGTGCCAGCCACAATCCCCGGGCGGCCGCCGCTGCATGAGAGGTCGAATAGCGCCCCTGGAGGCGACGGGAAGGAGTCTATCGAGAGGAAGCCAAGGGTTTATCACCAACCGGAAACTGATGACAGTGTCGCTTCGCGAACCAAGACTATCGAGAAGAAGCGTTCAGTTTCAAATCGTCGGGGAGCGTCACCAAAGCGCCTTGCCCCCATAGTAATTCCTCAATTTGTTTCGAAACCTCGCAGGCTACTATCCAAAAGGTCCTTCAGTCACCTTCGGTCGGGGAGTGTGTCTGAGGAGAGTTTAAGATCCAACCAGTTAACCCAGCAGTCGAACGGACGAAGCCCACCCACTCCTCCAACTGCGTCCGTGGCGGATTTGACCAGTCCATACTCAGCAGCCACTCCTCATTCAGCAGCCACTCCGCACTCAGCACGCCTAAACC